ACACAATATAATGATGTTCACCATATAAACAGTTGTTTTGTTTAAATTACAAGTTATAAATGTAACAACCACCCAATTTTATTTTTTGAGTGCTTTATTCAAAGCACACAAGGATTTCAGTTTGGCACCAGTGTTTTCGAGACTCCTTAGCTTTCCACCTGACTCTGCTCTCTCAGGTAAGTAAAAACATTTTTCTTTTTAGACTCGAATTGAATTATTTTTCTTTTTTTTAACTGCTTTCTACATTATACTAAAAACATCAAATATGTTAAGCAAGATATGAGGAATTATGTAGCAAAGAGAAAAAAGATAAATAACTCTAAATATGTCTTATATTTTAGATTCCTCAAAGTAGCCACACTTTGCTTTGTTGACAGCGCTGCAAACCCTTGGTCTTTTGTCAATGAGCATTATGATGTAGCCACCTGAACTGGTTTTCACTTTCACAGGTGTGCCTGGCAGTATACAGCTGACAGCCCTATGAAAAGTGTTAGACTTAATATTATGGCAAGAACCAATCAGCTAAGTGAATAAAAGTGACAGTCCATCATTTCTTGAAGAACTAAAGGTCAGTCAATCTGGAGAATTGGTAAAATTTTCAGTGTGTCCCCAAGTGCAGTCGCAAAACCCATCAAGTGCTATGACAAAACTGGGTCACATAAGTACCACCCAAGGAAAGGATGACCAAGAGTCACCTCTGCTGCACAGGATAAATTCATGTGAGTCTCAGAGATTGTAGTTAGTAACACCTCAGATTAGGGCCCAGATAAATGCCACACAGGGTTCCAGTAACAGACACATCTCTACATCAACTGTTCAGAGGAGACTGCACGAATCAGGTGTTATGGTCAAATAGTTGCTAAGAAACTACTACTAAGGAAAAGCAACAAGTAGAAGAGATTTGTTTGGGCCAAGAAATACAAGGAATGGACATTAAAACCACTGGAAAACTGTGCTTTGTTCTTCTGAGTCCAAATCTGAGATCTTTGGTTCCACCCCTTGTCTTTGTGTGCTTTCCTGGTGACACTGTTGGGGAGTTGAACAGTAGCACACTGAACCAGCATGGGTACCACAGCATCCTGCAGTGACATACCATCCCATTCGGTTTACGTTTAGTTGAACCATCATTTATTTTTCAACACCCAAATACACCTCCAGACTGTGTAAGGGCTGTTTGACCAAGAAGGACTGATGGAGTGGGAACTTGTTGGAAAACCATTTCTGGTGCCTACCTCATCTACAGACTGACTACCTCTCTCCAAAAAAGAGAATGTCAACAGTGTCCAAAGCAGTGATCAAAGCAAAGTGTGTGTGTCACGGTTCTGGGTCCGTTGGACCCAGTATTTTGAGTTTATTATGTTTTGGTTTACTTTTGCATTATGGATTATTCTTTATGTTTCTCTAGTACTTTGTGTTTCAGTTATCTTGGTGTTTTGGATCGTTTTCTCATTCTCTTGTTATGATGATGATGATGATGATGATGATTATTATTATTCATGTTTCTGTTATCCATGTTTTAGGAATTATGGTTTCACTTATAGTTCAGTTCCATGTGTCATTTTCTGCCTGTCTCTCTGTGTTGAGCCCGTGTCTCTGAGTTGTGATTCATGTTTCCTGTTTTATTGTGAAAGTCTTTGTCTTAGGTTAGTGTGTGCAGCTTTGTTCCCCCTGTCTCATTAGCCCTGATCTCTCCCAGCTGTGTCGCCCTCCTGTTGCCGATTCCCTCGTTACTACCCTGTGTATATAAGCCCTGTGTTTTCCCGTGCTTGGTGTTGCGTTGTACCCTCAGATTATGCCTGTGTGGTTTTTGTGGCAGTGGTTCACGGTCATTGCCATTGCTCAGTTTATGTTTTGTTTTATGCCAGCAATAAAGCTGAGGTTTGAGTTACAGTTCAGTGTCTGAGTCCTGCACTTGGATCCTCCTCTCCACCTGCCTGCACACAGAGCCCTGACAGTGTGTATTCTGTAGATTCTAAAATATATATTTTTTGTTTACTACATTCAATTCCAATGTGTTCATTCATAGTTCTGAAGCTTTGGTGAGAATCTACAATGTAAATAGTCATGAAAAAAAGAAACTATTAAATGAGAAGGTATGTTCAAACATTTAACTGATAGTGTATATAAAAAATGCTGCTGTTATGCAATGGGATTGTGTACTCACATAAAAAAAATTTGATCTCGCATTTGTGTCACAGTGTTCAAAAAACACAGCATGATAGAGCAGGTACCCATGAAACAACCATATTTGGTCCATATTTTCTATCCTTTCTAATGATAAAGGAAGCATGTATGAGGTAAATAGAACTGGTCCTAGCACAGAACCCTGTGGAACTCCATAATTAAACTCAGTGTGTAAAGATAACTCTCCATTTAATAAATATTAATAACTGTAATAAAATATTATGGTCAACAGCATCGACTGCTGCACTGAGGTCTAGCAGCACAAGCACAGAGTCCGCTGCCAGAGGCCACAATGGTCATTGTAATTAACTTTCCAGTGTCCCAATTTACCATCTTATAAAAATGTTTTCTCTCGTTCTGTTGCACATCTCCCCTGACACTCTCCTCTTCACCTCTCCTGTGCACCCGACCCGATTCTATGCACCCATGTCTCCCTAAACTGGTGTGTTTAAATCTGCAGCAGAAAATATGCACATACAGCCAAGCTATAACTAAGCACTAACAAGCTTTCTAAAAAATGGAATTAATTAAATATTTTTGATTTCACTTTATGTAGATGCATGTCACATGTGCTGATGATGTATGAGTTTTATTTGGATAATGGCTTAGAGTATGTTTCTGCTTTAACTCAGATGCAGAAGGCTTTTGAAGATGCCTCCTTTGCTCTCAAAGTGGGAAACATGAGCGGTCCATAGCCACCTCCTGTACATGGATGACATCAAGCTGTATGCCAAGAGTGAACGAGACATCGATTCACTGATCCACACCACCAGGATATACAGCAATGACATTGTAATGTCGTTCGGACTGGAGAAGTGTAGTCGGGTAACCAAGTGAAGGAAGGTAGTCAGAACTGAGGGGATATAATTACCAGAAGGCAACATTTCAGACATAGAGCACAGTTACAAGTACCTGGGGATCCCACAGGCAAATGGGAACCATGAAGAGGCCGCTAGAAAGGCTGCAACCACCAAGTACCTGCAGAGGATTAGGCAAGTCCTGAGGAGTCAGTTGAACGGTAAGAACAAGATCCAGGCTATGAATATCTACACCCTGCCTGTGATCAGGTACCGTGCTGGGATAATAAGCTGGTCAAAGGAGCAGATAGAAGCCACTTAAGCCAAGGAAGTTCCTTACCACGCATAGAGGGTTTCCCCCCAAGTCGGGCAACCTGAGGCTGTATGCTAAGCAAAAGGAGGGAGGCCGGGGACTGGTGAGTCTCAGTACCACAGTCCAGGGTGAGACAACGAAAATCCACGAATACATCAGGAAGATGGCCCCAACCGACCGCGTGCTCAGTGATTACCTCAGCCGGCAGAAACCCAAGAAAGAGGAGGAAGAGGAGGAACCATCATGGAAGGACAGGCATGGTACCACCGGCAGATAGAGGAAGTGTCTGACATCCAGAAGTCCTACCAGTGGCTGGACAAAGCTGGACTGAAAGACAGCACAGAGGCACTAATCATGGCAGCACAGGAACAAGCTCTGAGCACAAGATTAATCGAGGCTGGGGTCTATCACGCATGCATACATGGAACGCAACAACTAAGTAGCTGGCATAGTATACACAAACATCTGTGCCGAGTATGGACCTGAAGTCCCAAGGTCAAAATAGGAGACTCCTCCTAGGGTGGTTAAGAATGGCCGAGCTAAGATCCTCTGGGATTTCCAGATACAGACAAAATAGTGGTGGCTAACCAACTGGACATAGTGGTAGGCAAACAGAAGAAGACGGCCGTAGTGATAGATGTAGCGATACCGAATGAAAGTAATATCAGGAATAAGGAACACAAGAAGTTAGAGAAGTACCAAGGGCTCAGAGAAGAAGCTTGAGAAGATGTGCAGGGTGAAGGTGACGGTGGTCCCCGTGGTAATCGGAGCACTAGGTGCAGTGACTCCCAAGCTAGGCAAGTGGCTCCAGCAGATCCCAGGAACAACATCCGAGTTCTCTGTCCAGAAGAATGCAGTCCTAGGAACAGCAAAGATACTGCGCAGGACCCTCAAGCTCCCAGGATATATATTTGCTTGTTTAAGGTCTCCCTGGAAAACATATACTGTCATTTATAAAATTTGTGAATATGAAAGAAGGATAATGATAGTACCAAGATTGAAAATGTATTTTCATATTAATTTGAAATTTGCTTCATCAAACAATCCTTTATTGGCAGCAATCACAGCCTTGCAGACTTTCATTCAGATGGTCTGACTGATTTAAACGAGATGTTTCTCTTTTTTGTTTGTTTTTTATTATTTCTCTCCAGTGACATCACGTGCTTACTGGGATTCTCTCTATGAAACTGTATTTCTTTACCTTACACTTTAAAGTGCTTTGACGTGGTTATTGTTGTTGGCATTATATGAATAAAACAAAACTGTGTCCTGTGTGATTGTTATTGTTTTTGATTGTTTGTTTTTAAATGTGTGGAAATTTCTCCTGTACAATGTGGTTCTGATTTTCGGGTCACCATCTTGTAGAAAGCAACCGTTTCTTCACAAGTCAGTCCATGGGGGTGTCATGGTGTTATAAAATAGGGGAGGAAGCTAATGTGTTTACAGATCTTACACGTTCTGATTACAAAGACACCTCCAAAGTTCATTTTCTCCCACATGTTTGAGAAATGATGTCATCCGCTTTCCCGGTATATTTTCATTTGTTCTGCATTTCCTAAACTTTTTTTGAACCTATAGACTTAAAACCTGTTTACGTGTTCGTAGCATTCATTTTTAGTCTTTCGAGCACTCCTAGTGGGGCGTAAGTATAAAAGCTCTAATGAACTGCTCCCTCTCATGCCTCCATGCCGCCTGCGGTAATTTTCCTGTGTAGACTTTACGCACTGGATTCCTTCCTCTCATCTCTGAAATGTCGTGTGGAACAGCCTGGAGGCGGCGTAAAACCTTCCCATCCGCAAGCCTCTGTCCATTCTGCAGTACAGGACAGGCTGCCTCTCACACACACGTGTGTTTAATTTAGGTGAGTGTACGGCGCTGTGCCCCTGACAGCGCAGCGGTTTCCGTTACAAGGAAATGATGGAGGAGGAAAGTTTCTGACGCCTCTCTGCTCTCTCTCTCTCTCTCTCTCTCTCTCAGGGACAGTCCACAGGAAAGACTGGAGCTCATTAATCATTTGCGCAGTTTGCTCGTCCTCCTCGTAACATGTACATGTTGTCAGTGTAAAAAAAACTGCATGTGTTTTGGATTAAAAGGGTGTTCTACACTGAAATGTCTCACCATTGGAAATGCAGCTCCACGCCTGTCTGTTGCTTTTTATCGTCACAACAGGTAAGAACGCCCGCCGCTGACATGTTAGATGTTATTGTGCTATTTGCTATTCTTTTGTCTTTAAATTAGGCTAAATCAAAGTGATATGCACACTGTCGGTATGGAATACCTAACCTCAATATTATTGGGGTTAGTCAATGGAAATAAGATGTTCTGTAAGCTCTGAAATTCTCTGTTTAAATTAACCTTTTGGTTGTACTTCCCTCAGCTTATTCCCACAAATGCAGTTTGAGCTGTAAAAGTCTAACAAGGTTTTTCTCTTTCTCTTCTCAGATAAAGCGCGAATCACGAGAATCATAATGACATTTATTTCTGGTATTTTTAGAGCTGTTTCTGCCTCCTGATGTTCTCAGTGAATACATGAAATATATTCATGATTTACAGTAGGAGTCAGGTTGAGCAGTATATAACTTAACATGCTGTGAAAATGTGTTGTTCCAACTGTGCCGTGAGCTGGGAATCTGTCGGAAAGATCTTATCTCCCTCTGTGGTGTTACACAGAGCAATGTTATGTTGTTGTGATTTCCACTCTGTCTCTTCTCACCCTGTCTCTCTCTCTCTGTTATTGTGTTTGTTCCTGGTTTTCCAGTCCAGGAAGATGAGAGGAATTCCTCGGAGGACCACTCAACCCAACATCCAGACCTAGACCCCACTCAATGGTTTCCAACAGGAACCAGCTTTACAAATAGTCCTCCTGTTGATCAAGAAGTGACGAGAGGCATGAAGGAGGGCAGAGATCACACCTACGATGGTCTGGAGAGGAGTTTTGCACCTCTGTCTGTGTCTAGTGCCTCCTCTCTGGATCAAGGACTGCTGAACCCCACCTCACCCCAGCAGGGACTCCCTGTCGCTGGGAGAAGTGATAGGGAAACTCTCCCTCTTCCTGAGGAAAAACCAAACAATGGAGCGGAAACATCTGGAGCTGCTCACCTCACCGATGGGCCCATGGCTGCCAGAAATACAACACACCCATATTTTCAGCATGGACTCAGTGCAGGCCCCAATACAAGCACACCCTCAAACCCGACTGAAAAAAGCCTTCAAACTCTGATGGCATTGACAGAGGAAACAGCCAGTAGTTCAGCTCTCATGCTTGACAAAGCTATACAAGATACATCCGTTCAGACATCTAAAAACACAGGCAAAGATGTTGCCACACAAATGGATCAAAGAGTGTCCAGCGCCAGCGTTCCTCTCCGTACTTCTGCTCCAGCTGAGCTATCTTCCTCCAGGACAGGTCATACAGGCATAACCGCACATGGTGTGGGTGTTAGTGGGACATCTGGAGATGAACAGCCTCATTCCTGGAGGAGCCAGAGAAGCACAGACAGACATAATTCTGACCTGACCTTTGCTGTCACTTCTGACCCTTTAAAATCCTCCATCAAAACACTGCAGGATGACTTCAGTGCACAAACCCACACTGAACCCACTGCATCATCATCATCTTCAGAAGTTTACAGCGGCACTCATTCATTCAACACCCACTTCACAGAGCTCAACAACGTTGTTAGCACTGTGGAGGCTGATCCAGTTCATCCAAACATAAGTCAAATTAACTCATTTGTATCTGTTGCTGCTGCTCAGACTGTCACATCTGAGTTGCCTGATAAGTTTGAACAAACTGAGATGACGCTCCCATCTTCCTCAAGGAGTCTAACAGACTCTCCTCAAAGCACAGAGAGCCCCACACATTCTGCTTACACGTCATCTTTATTTACACAGACAGACAAAGAGACACAAATGGCAGTAGAAAGTGCACGCGGAAATATCATTGATGCGCACCCGACTAGAAACACTATCCCTTCCCCACCTGGTATTACCAAGGCTTACAGTTGGACTTCAGGGTTCACCGATTCTTCTTCTACACCCGGGGCAGCGCTGACCGTGGGAGGTGTAACCCAAAACTCAGCCATCACAGGAACCACTGGAGTGACATACACTCTGCATCCTGCTCACACACTCCTACGTGATGACTCGCCCACAGATTCTACTGCTGTTGCTGTTTCATCTTCCACCACATCCACAGAGTCCTCTACAGCTTTGTACACACTCCACACACACAGTACATTTCCTGATAGTTCACACCCTGCTTTAACCTCGTCTGTGTCTCAGACCACGGACCACACAGTCAGCAAAGCCACGCCTTCACCTCCACAAATGTCACCTCCTACACACAATCACCCGCCTCCTCAGACTTCTACTAATATGTCACCAACACGTAACCAATCCCAACCCCTAATTATTACTACTACTGCACATACTCCTCTCCTTTCTACTGTAACATTAGATTATGGACATGGAGCTGGAGAAGAACAAGTAGAAAAGTATAAGTTCTGGCAGTGGTCTTCCAGCAGCACGACCACACGCACTCCCACATCTGGACTACCACAGCAACCTCCACAGCAGACAACCATGCATCCCAGCCAGGAGCCCTCTTCTGCTTTAACCTCCACACCTGCTCGAAGCTCCACAAACAGTCCCAAGTTCTACATCGTGCCAGATCAGCCTGCTGCCATCAGAGGTACTTCCCAAACACCACTGAAGTGTTTTACGTTTAGGTAAATATCCTGATTATATATCCAGAAGTCCTGAAATTAGTTTATTTACTTGTTCTGTCCAGTGGAGTCAGTTGAGCTGCTGCTGCAGATAGTTGTAGAAGAGCCCATGTTGGCTTCAAATGTCAATTTGGAGAACGACACTACTACCTGGGTGAGGGATTGTACAGTAACACACACTGGCACAAAAAAGCAGAAATAATCAAATAATTAAGTATTTTTGACTTCAGCTGAGTAGTTTTTACAGAGTTCTCAATTAAGGTTTCTTTCAGATGAAGCCATACCTACAGAAAGCCCCGGGGTTCAGCCGGCTGCTGGGAGTCTGGAGCAGGTGAGGTGGTGCAGACAAGCTGAAAATGAAAGGCACCTCCAGGCTCTTTCTAGATTTCAATTAGCTCCACCTTGTCTCTCAATATGCACTGTCCATTTCTCAGTTGTGTGTGTTTCCTATCCCAGGTTATGGGACGTTAAATACATCATTTCTGCTAGGGGAAGATATAAACTCTCAGACATAAGTAAACACAATTAAAACACCACAAAAATCCACCAGAGTTAAACATCATTAGGGGAAAAAATGTGAAAAAAACATAATAAATTCTTCATCATCCTTCTGCATTTTTCTCCCCTTTCTTAAGTATTAACCTTTTTTCTTTTTTTCTTTTTTTTTCTTTTTTACCCATGCAGCTAATGGGACTTTGGAAACTAAAGTCAGTGTCCATTAAATTATGTAATGGTCTCTAACCTCTATGTTGCTTTCCTGACATTAATTTTATTAGCCATCCCTCAGTTTGTCAACAGGGCTCAGATAATTTCCCAACTGGAATGTTTTGATCTAACTAAAGCACAGTGGAAATTGTAATTGGGTTATGCTTTGGGATCGGTCACAGAAAGTTGCGTAAAAGGAGGTAAATCTCCAGTCCTGTTTTTGTTCCAGTGGCCGTGCAGTGCAGAGCCTGCTGGAGTTCAAAACCAGCAGAGCTCTGGAGTGGCTCAGCATAACAGAACCCACATCACTGCTGGAGCGTACTGGACTAGCCCAGGCTGTTCGCAACAAGAGGACATTCAGGACTTCCAGGATCACCAACATCACAGTCGGAGGTAAGCCCGTGTTCAGGTGCCGGTCTGCAGGCAGCTGACTGAAGCCCTGGTGGCTGAGCAGTTTGGGAGGAGTCTGGTTGCCTTTTCATGCACATTGTTCTTAATATCTTTCCGTTCATTTCCTGTCATCTTTCTGCAGAAGACTGGGTGTTTGTGTTTGTCATCAATGTCAAAAATTGACACCAAGATGTCCTGAGTTTCTTCATTAACCTGAGAGAAAGTTCCTTTTTTTTTTTTTTTTAACGTCTTAATTCAATTAACCCAGATACAGGAAAACTGATGTAAACATCGTAACTCAGTTAGCCTGACTCAGTTAAGCTCAAAATCTAATTATGAAAAATCGAATTATTCTACCTGGCTTGGTCTAACAAACTTTTTCTTCTTTACTATAGCGTGGAGTCATTTTATTTGTTTCCATTTTAATGTTTGGCATCAGAAAAAATCTAAAATGCAGAAGTGCTGCAGTGTAGTTTAAATAGTCATTTGGTAAAAAACGCAGTAGGTTCAGTGATTCATTTTTGTACTGCAAGCTTGTTAGAGGCATAACATGTGAGGAGAGCACATGCTACAGACATCTTCACCAGAAAAGCAAGAGTGATGTCATGTAGCTTTAAGATGAGAATTATTCTAAAAGTGGGGAAACTTTCTAATAAATTTTTTATATTTCTCCAGGTGATAAAGTAAAACCTTTAAGATACTGAAAATGTGGCCGGTTCATTTCCATTTTCAGGGGATGCTCAGCCATCGAAACTCATGTCATGAAGCACTTGATGCGCATTTCTTGTGCTGATGTTAATGCCAGAGGAAGTTTGGAGTCGGAGTGTTGGTGACTTTTACACACTATGTACCTCACCACTTTGTGACTTTATGTGATCGGTTACTATGGTGACTGTTACAACTACCTGGTGTGGAGATCCCTTTTAAATGGTGGAAATCTTGGAAGGAAGAGATTTGACAAATTGAATTATTGCAATGAAACCATCCTTGCAATAACAGTCCAACACTTGAATTCAGTTAACTCTTTAGAAAGACACATTTTTTTTTCACAACTCAGTCCAGGGCCACACCTGTGGTCACAGGACTGAAAACACCTGAGCTCAAAGATCAAGCGATGTAACCTTTTGTCCATACAGTGCACATACTTGTAACAATTTTTGAAATACGGATTACTGTTTAGACCAAATAAGAAACATTATCAGCTGGTTAATGGAGAACCTAATCAACAATTGTTAAGTTAAGTCTCAAGTATCTCAAGTACAACTGAAAATTCAGCCTTGTGACACATTAGCTTAATGTGTAATTGCATGATATTCACGTGACTACTAAAAACTTCAGTGCCTGTCTGATTTTTGGATGCATATATCATTACAATGAGATCACTTTATGATAAGAAAATTTAAAAAAAATGGCACCACCTTTATTATTTTCTTTAATTCTTTTTAAACATGCCTTCCCCTCAGGTCTGCAGGGCGACATCTGTGACTGGTTGCTGCAGTGCTCTGCAGGATATAAGTGTGTTTCCCAGCCTGGCACTGCCAACTACAGCTGTTCCTCAGTCTGCCACTTTGACTACTGCCACCATCACGGCATCTGCACACACCATCCACACCAGCTTCCAGTTTGCCGGTAAGAACGTTAAAAGGAAAAGCAAATATTTTTGTTCACCCAGGCATATTTTGTTTGCATGTGTAAATGACTTGTATTTGGGCATTAGCTGCCTTGCAGGTGACAATTTCTGGTTCATGGGTGAGAGGTGCGATGTCAGGATGACCCGCGCACGTCTCATTGGTGCGTGCCTTGCCATCTTACTCATCATAGTGACAGTGATCATCATTTTGGCGTTTGTGGCAGTGCGACGCTATCGAGCAATTCTGATTCAGGCCAAAGTAGACCAGACTCGCAGCAGGTAGGAAAAGGCTTTTATTAAGACGCACCTACAGTTCAGGCGTATGCATATTTTGTTAATTATACAATTTTTCTAATTTTGCCTTTCTGCACCACCACAGTGGATTTTTTTTATTATTATATTTATATATTATATATTAATAAAAACTGAAAGATTGCTCTTCAGTCACATCTTGTTTGCTTTTAGATCCATTGTGGTTTTTACTGCAAAGGTTACATTTTTTTTGGACGATAAGTACTTCCATAAACCTTAAAATTTATAGTAAAAACGTGCATATTTGTGACGTACAGTAAATCGCAGTAGTCACAATAGGTGAAAGTATTCTGTTGTGATCCATGAGAGAAAAACCAGAGACTGACATAAACGCACATGCTCTTCAGTAACTGTAAACACTCATTGCCACTAGGTGGCACAGTCTAGCTGACAACGCACATACTAAGGATGAAGGTGGAACTGGATTGCTGGCTCAATCTGAATGTCTAACCTCCACATATGCTGACAGCTGAGCACACAGACACAGTCATTGATACTGTGACATGTTTCATTAGGGTGCTGGGCCAGGAGATGAGGAAACCTATTAGTTGTTCCTGAATGGAAATGCCTCCTACACAACTAATATTAGAGGTGTATGCATGGTAATATTAGTAAATCCAGCATAAATGCAATCTCAATTCTGTGTACTTTCTTTTCATATTAATGTTTGTTTTTAAACCTCGGGTGTTCCTCCAAGTGTAGTCTGGAAAAAATGACCTTGTGGTTTTGGATGGTTCTAATATGATGGCGTGCAGAGACTTGGATTCAGCTTCATGAAAGTCTACCTACAAGGATTCTTGTGTCGAAGCACTTTTCATTTGAACCTTAATAACAAACTGAGACTGCAAGAGGCAAAAGCATATTGATCTTAATCAAGATACTGTTTGTTTGACTGAATATTGAGCATGTACAAAGACAAAGATCAGACAGGAAGTAATAAGTCTGAAGCTAAGCCTTAAGTCCAGTATGTCTAGAGTAGGAAATGTGTGTTTTCCAGGAAATTGGGGCCTCTTTGGAGTCATCTTTTTAAACATCCCAAGTAGCTGATGATTGCCCGAGTTTAGAGAAACTTTGCAAAGCATATAATTTAGCACAGGAAAATATTTTAAAATTAGCCTAAAAGAAGTTATTCCAGAGGATTTTTATACAAATAATGGGGAGGATTTACCTTTTATAACTTTATACATCTTAGAGCAGTAATCTCCTGCCAGTATACACAAACCCTGGTTGTAAACTAGAGTTCATTACAAAACTGCTGACAACTACTGGTTTCAGGGCAATGGCTGGGTTTTAAAGGTGTTTATAAGTGGAACTTATGCTATTAAAATAACTTGGAAAAAATCACCTGTGCCCATTAAATGGTAATTAAGCGGTATAGTTTTATATTGTTCTTGATCTGCAATGTTTTAAACAAATCTGTTAATGTTTCTTCTTACCTGTTGATCTATTTCTGGTAAATGGAAAGTTATTCACTGGCAAGGAGCAGTCATGTGTCACTGTGACACATCAGTTCATTCATGAAACATAACATCATCTGTATGAGCGGGGTCATCTCCGACCTTTCTGCTGTCATAGGAGTTCTTTGTTCCTTGGTGAAACTGAGCAGCTTTGTGAAGAGCTTTTAAGAAGAAACTCTTTTTAGGGGTAAAATAAGAGCTTCTATGAATGCCACAGAGATAAGGTTCAAGTTATGACCCCACATTGTAAAAGGGCTGTCTCCCATCGACTAGGTTGATTTTTTTTTTTTTTCCTTCTTGAAATTTTGTTCATGTGAAACGTTTAAAGCTGGCACACAATTGTTAAAAAAAAAAAAAAAAAAAGAGGAAAACCCAGATTGCAAAGAGAAGCAACAACAACAAGCATTGTACCCTGTGACCTCTCACGATTTTGTTTGCGCAGCTATCGCAGATTCAACCACTTTGATGAGCTGTCAGGTCGCTTCTGGTTGCGCTCGTGGGCGGGATCAGCAGACTCATTGGACAATCCTGCCTTCACACGCTCCGATGAGTTGCTGCATCTGCGAGCGCTTGACCGCCCCTGCTGTTACCACGACGACACGCTGTCACTGGCTTCCACCTGCCCCAGCCACGGAACACGAATCAACACAATCTACCCCCACAGGTATATACAACACACACACACACACACACACACACACACACACACACACACACACAGTGTTCATTGTCTGACAGTGAGTTGTGTGTTCCAAAATGTGGGAGAGTTTTCAGTGAAAAGCTTCTCTGTTCTCACCAATGCCACTCTTGAAGCTTAAAAACAAGCTTGGTTCACAGTTATCAGTGATGGTCACTGTGGTCACCTTGGAATATTTACATGTTTTAAAGCCAGTAAAGCTAAAACTGTTTCTTACTGACATTTTTTGTATTGACAGCATATGGAATATAAGGAATTCTATATTCGGATTCTAAATCCCATGTTACTTTGGACCCTAAGGTCAAACTTTCATAAAATGTATTTTATCTTAAAACTGCTTAAAATTCTTCTGCCTGTGTTTGCATTGGCAGCATTTAGGAAATTATCCTGGTACATGGAGATTGTAAATCTCACATCATAGCTTGCATCCAAATATCATGTAACATTTGACCTCTGACTTCCCTTTTACATTTCAAATCTGCCTTTCTTTCAGTCTTACCCCAAAATGTGTTATAGCTTTAAAGAAATCGTTGTCAAGAGAATGAGCTGCCTAGTAAGAAATACACTGTAATAAAATATTATATAATCGGCTCAAGTTATTCATGTCCCAGTCACTCTCCAAATGCTCCAGAATGGCATCAACAGCATATATCCAGGTCAGGTGGGGAATATCAGACTCTAGTAGCCCGATAAATCAATTATTAAAATAAGAAGAAGAAATTGAAACTAATAAATCACCCACCGTATAGATGTTTTGGAGAGGGGACAATCTATTTTTGTAGTGGACATGTTGTTGTTTTTTAAGGCTGTAAAGCTGGCCATTTTAACATGGATGGGAGTCTGTGGACATTGACTCGCTTTTGGAGCCAGCCTCAAGTTGCCATTAGAGAGCATGCAGTATTTGGCACTTCAGCAGAAGTCGCAAATACCTTCTGTTCGCCACCTCTGCGTCTCACTAATACATGGTAGTTTCAATAAAATGTCAGATTTTGATTCATAAGCACAGAGTCCAAATTTCTAGTCAGTTCCTGGAGAGTTAATGTTGAAATGGAGTTTCTAATTAAACTCTGAGGCATTAGCGTGAGCTCTAAATGTGTGTGAGGTGCTTTTAATTGCCAGTGCCCACAGCAGCTAACGCTAATGAATGTATCATGTGCAGCAGAGGTTTCTCCAAGAAGTAGGATGTTAGGGCATCAGTGGACTGGGCCTCCAAAATAATCCAAACTAAACTCACTTCATATAGTTTGGAATAAGTTGAACTGGATAGGAAATGAAATGAACTATCCATAATTAACTGCAGGACTTAACACAACATAATAATTTGTACATAAATGCAAAATACACTTGAGTCTAGTTTAAATGTTAATAAGTAATCTCTCTAAAAACCCACTCATTCAAAGATTTCACTACTCACTTCCCTAACTGTTGCTTAAAATAGCTACTAATTTGAGCTTGAAGTGATTAAATAATGTAAATAATCCTTTTGCATCCTGTAGTTCCCAGTATGGATGGAGGGGGAGTGAGATGAGCATGGGGGATGGTGTGCTGGACTCGGGTAAGGCCAGTGACCTTTCAGTGTGTAGCTGGCCAGTGGAACCCATTCACTGGACTCCATTTCCACTTCTGCAGCAACTGGCTTCTCACAGGACACCCACAGTGAGTGTGTGACTGTACATGTGGTTTCCATGAGAGTTTCGGTAAGATACAAATGTCTGCGTGGTTTCACAGTTTGAATGATGCGATGTTTCTCTATGAAACCAGGTCAGGGTGTCACGACCACGGTCCTACTGTGAAGGCATGGAGCTTGTAGACATGGGGAAGAGCTGGACTGCTTGACTTGCATATGGAGGATTCAATCTGTTCTGACACTGGTTTTTACAGTTTATTAATGCATTGTAAAGTTAAAATATGTGTTTTGTTAATAATAATAAAAAAGTAAGGCAGTAAATGTATAAATGTGTACACCTTTCTTTGAAAGATTAAATCTGTTTCTGATGCTGAGATGTTAACTGCATGTCTGTCATGTGTGGTACAAGGTCTTGGAAAATGTTCTACTGTTACTCAGGGCATCAATATATTGTATTTACTTTTGGAATTAAAGCCATCAAAGGATATTTATACTCTACTTACTTTCAATAACAACTGAAGACTTTACACTTACGAATACAATAATAAGATAAAAACACAAAGATGTTCTCACATTTTAGTACAGGCTAATTGATTTAAGTACTAGCTGAAATATTTTTAGTTACCACCCCTGCTTCCAAGGAGCAGGACTTTTTTGTAATTTTTCCAAGTGGTCCTGAACAATAGTTCTCCAGGCTTTCTTCAAAGTTCCTATTTGGACACTGGCTGCTTCCTGACAGGAGAGATGCATCAGGATCTTCACCTGATCCAGTTGCTCCATCAGTGGAAAGGTCAAGAAGTCATAGTTAAGGAAAGGAAACTGGGAGAAAAGGGTGAAGTGTGCCTAATTTCATAAGAAGTGTACTGAAAATCAGTGGCAGAAGGTCTGATGAAGGGGTAAATCCAAACTGGAATTTATGTATTTTTTTTGGTTCACATCATTGTCTTTTTATGAAGGAGGTAGGGAGAGCGCTACCACAGTGAGTGTCTACATTAATCTGTAAAACACATTGGAGGCTCTGTCAGCCAGTGGTGTTGGAGATCTTGTCAGAATTGATGGAATTATGAACACAGAAGAAGTGCTGTCAAATTTAGATCCACCATGCAATACCATCTGGAAAGCATCTAATTGGCAACAAGTTTATTTTTCAGCATGACAGTGATCCAAACACACCTAATACAGTAAATGCATACCTGGGTAGAAAAACACACAATGAAAGATTATGAATCGGCCTCCCCAGAGGCTGGACCTCAACATTACTGAAGCAGTGTGGGATCATCTTTACAGAGAACAGAACAAGAAGCAGTATAACAGAGAAACAAGAAAGCTTTGAATGTCCTTTAGAAAGCCTCCAGAACTATTCCTGAAGACTACTTAAAGTATGAGAAAGCTTGCCTAAGAGTTCAGACTATGTTGGAGAGTAAGGATTGTCATACAAAGTATTGACTTTCGAGTTCCTTAGAATTGTACAAACTCTGTTTTTGCCTAAACAAAATATAAAGAAATGAGGTGACGCAAGCATAATACTGCATATCATTATTGTTCCTAATCTTGTAGCCCTGTATCTCATCTGTTAGGGGCCTAAAAGAAAGGTTGTGTGTCCCTGTGACTCTAAGATAGGACATAATATTTTAGAATTAAAAATTCAGTAAGCTTAAAGGTTGACAGAAGACTTCGTGCTAATGCCTTACATTATACACATGAGATGCATTGTTATTTCACAGTAATAAATGTGCTATTATTTACTAAATGCGGTTTCTCTCATACCACACATACACGAGCCCCGCCCCCTCAATGCTGTGTATGAAACTCTGCTGAAATGTGACCATTAAACGACTGGAAACACGGTGAAGATTGAAACAGGTATAGTATGCATACTGAGCACACATGGTGCTCACATACAGAAAAAGAGAGTGGCTGAATTGGAGACTTAATGGGAGTTTAAAGGAAGAGGGTGGGGAGAGAAGGGGATGAGTGAGAAGTGGACAGAAGCTACCTGCCAGCTTCTTCCATATACGGTCTTAGTCAGAGCTGGCCTTACCCAGGACTGTGAGTTTCTCTGACTGTGTGAGTGAGCAATGCAGGGAGGGAGTGCCTACATTTGTGTGTTGTAATGCGTGCATGAGTCATGCACGCTGCCTAGTTTTGAAATTGCTCAAGCAAAGGCGTGAGATTGAGAAACTACTGTCTGGATAGAGAACAAAGTTTAAAAGATTATTTTGTAAGATACATTTAATCATTTAAAACTGTGATTGAAACATAAATCGGATAAAGAATACAGAAGAAAATGTGAGCGGTAACAGACAAACATGGCCTTAAAAAGGGAGATTCATTCATTTCCTCAGAGTGGTCACATGACCGGAGCAGCGCATTCTTCCCCCCATGTGACTCTCTCCAATATCTCCTTATATGGACGTCATCCAAAGGAACTCTTAAAGGGATGGTGGTGCCCTGGGTCTATACTTGGTGTGTGTGTGTGTGTGTGTGTGTGTGTGTGTGTGTGTGTGTGTGTGTGTGTGTGTGTGTGTGTAGCGTCAATTCAAAGCAGGATAATGCTGAGCGGAAAAGCCAGTTCTCTGATCACGTGATTGCCTGCCTACACCTAGCTCTGTGTGTGTGTGTGTGTGTGTGTGTGTGTGTGTGTGTGTGTGTGTGTGTGTGTGTGTGTGTGTGTGTGTGTGTGTGTGGTCACTTCCTCCATCTGTAGAAGTGAGGCACTTTAAAAGCTTGCTTCCTGTGCCTTTTGGTGATCCAGCTCCCATATATCCTTATTAGGAACACACAGGGCCTGTGAGAATTCCGAGTGTAAGTTTATGAGGCTTTGTCCGGTGCCCTTATTGAGTTAAAGCCCATCCAGCCACCTAATCTCTGGTCAACTTATAAAATGAGCCTTGGAGGAGGATTTTCATTATAAAAATTAAAAAAAAAAAATCAACAAAGAATTGAAATAGTTTCAGGCCAGAGGCAAACAATGGTGTGTGAAATACCTGCCTGTGTGTAGGCTGTATGCATACCAGAAGTGAATCATGTTCCTGAGTAATCAATCCAGGCCTAATTGTTTTTATTTTGACACCTAATATAAGTATGTTCTGAAAATAACACGCCTGTTTATCACACGTCATTCACAAGATTAGCCCCGTAAACTCAATTGCACAATTCCTGCGAGGTGATGAAAAGGTAAGACATTTACAGTCTCAGTTTTCAGTTTTATTTGTCATATGCAAGTTAGCACAGGGTCAACATTGCAATGAAATGTATTTGACGAGCAGAAGACAGTCACTCAGCAGACTGGTACAGTAAAAAATAGTAAAGAGCAAAATATTAATAAAATATAGTAAAAGAAAAAAGATTTAACAGTTAACAGACTATATATATATATATATATATATATATATATATAGTCTCGTTACAGTCATGCCCTAAACATTACCGCAATTCAGCCTGGATACATGCATTACTGTCAGTCTGCACTGTGTGCGTTTGTGTTTGTGTGACGCTGGTGTGCCGGGGCAGAAGAGCCAGATAGAGGGTTAACCGTGCTGTCAGTGACCCTGAGATTAAACACCATCCCCAGTCCTGTCACCACAAACAAGCATCCTGCAAACAAATGGGAAATGGAATGGTGAAATCCTCTTCTGAAGCATTCCCTGACCCCGTGAATAAAATTAAGAGCACTCATTCATGGGTATATTATATCACTGAGGCTATAATCAGGATGATCCTGGCACCGTCACAATGTAGAGGATGTAAAAACGACATAACTATAGGCTGGATTAATTCAGTCTATTAAAGTAATAACTAATACATGCTCAGGGACCATTCAGTGCTTTGCAGCAGGGGTTGTGGGATTTGTCATCCACTAGTCTGTATCCCACTTATGTATTATTATCACATTATGGCAGACAGTTTTAAAAAATCAGCAGGTTTACTGAACACTGAACGACCCCGGATTGATAACTTTTAGGGAGGTATATGGGTTAGTTTAGTGGAACTTGTCCCCCCACTGCTATGTCAGAGCGCACAAACCATGATCTGCATGCGCCACACCCAGTGGATGGAGCCGAACCAATCAGCGGGCGCCGTGCGGAAAGTTCTCCTTTTATGGAGAGGGGCTGCAGCACGAGCCCTCATAAAAATCCTCCACTTTATTGGCCTTCATTGCAGTCAAGTTCAGACACTACATCCTACCGGAGTGTAGCGCTCAGTCACAGTTCTCATACACCGAAAACCCTCCCTCACACAGGTAAGACAACTGCGGAATGTCGGTGGAAGTTTCTTCCTCACATTTTAACGCTTTAATGTAACATTTTGAACAGCGAGTGTTTTCTTTTTTATATATATATCACTCCTTAGCTTACGAACCAAGTCGTTTTCTCATTTCAAGCTGAAGCCACTTGCTAGGCTTTACAGTGTTCCTATTATTTTGACCGCCACAGTTTTAACCATGTAACGGTTCGGTTTAGAAATGTGGTGATATGTTGCCGCTTATGTTTAAGTGGGTGTGAAATAACCTTGCCACTCGATGCTGTCATCACTTTGTAGTCCGACAAATCAAGACTACGTGTTAAAGGAAAAAAGCTTGACCTTCTCGCTTACATGTAAGCATCCACTGTGGCAGGTCTGCAGCTCTGGTGTCTCCGGTTTCAAACATTCAAACACCAGACCAGGCAAATGCAGATTGGATGGATTAGGCTTATAGAGACTTTACTAATTTTGTAAGTAGAGCTTCTGAAATTAAAGGTTTTTGCTGTGTCACTGCAGCTATCAGTTAATGTGCAAATCCTGGTGCGTCTGCTTCAAATAAATGTGCGAAGTTGGCTTTTTGTTCGTGTAACCTTGCAAATGCGTCAGTCACGACGTTCAGATATATCAGATTTAACTGTGATTTGTAGAAGTTCGTTCAGCTGCTAAAGGGTTTTCTGTGTGGTTAACGGTTGTGGTGAGCTCGGTGAAGGGAGTGGTCGCCTGTCGGTGTCATTTGAGGTTTAGCGACACGCGGGGCGGCTTCCGGGCCGGTCTACAGCAGTCTCTAAGCTGCATTCACTTTTGCCTTATATGGCCATGGCCAGCCCGAGTGAGAAACTGCCTTTGTTTCTCAGCTCTGGATTAGGACTCAACCTTGCGCCACTGCGACATCCAGCGTCCGTTCTCAATAACTGCAAGACTTCATCCAGGCTGTCTGCCAGATGTATCGCACACTGCTGCTGAACATTAGGATTAAAAATCCTTTCCTCCTGTTACTACTTCATACAGAAAATGGAAGACGAAATTGCTGCCCTCGTTGTTGACAACGGATCTGGAATGTGCAAAGCTGGCTTTGCAGGAGATGATGCTCCACGTGCTGTGTTCCCCTCCATTGTTGGACGCCCCAGGCATCAGGTACATATTCCTTAATAAACCTCACATACCTTGTAACCTTATAACTGCTGACCTTTTCATAATCGCACTGCTCTTTGCATTCCTAGGGTGTAATGGTTGGTATGGGCCAGAAAGACAGCTATGTTGGTGACGAGGCACAGAGCAAAAGAGGAATCCTGACCCTCAAGTACCCCATTGAGCACGGAATTGTCACCAACTGGGATGACATGGAGAAGATCTGGCATCACACCTTCTACAATGAGCTGAGAGTTGCCCCTGAGGAGCATCCAGTCTTGCTCACAGAGGCCCCCCTGAACCCCAAGGCCAACAGGGAAAAGATGACGCAGGTAACAAGAGCTGACACCTTGACGAACTTCCCCCTAAGTCAGGAAACTGTTGAGCTGCAGTGCCCAACAACAGGAAACTATGTTGCCACTCGGGTGTTTCTTCCCCTGCTCAATCTGTCTTTCCTCATCCTCCTTCAACCCTCCAGGTTTCCTCTGCCCTCGACTGATCTTTTCAGCTCTGCAGATGCTTCAGGTTTCTATCTCTGCACTGTGATGCATCAGGAATGAGCTGCAGCATGGGCACTGCTGTTTATAAATTAGACTGAGACTTGTGTTTAACTACACGGGTGTCTGCATGAAGCAATGGATGATAATAGAGCAGTTTGCTGCACTTTAACTTTTAGAGTCAGTGTAACAAAGCAGTTTTCTATTGTAGTTGGCATAATACTCAACCCAGTGTGCTGTTCTTTCTGTACAATTGAACTAACACATAGAAACTTATTTCAGAGTACTTTGGCTTTTAGTTTCACTGATCATCTCTTTTCTCCTGCTGTTCTTGCAGATCATGTTTGAGACCTTCAACACTCCTGCCATGTATGTGGCCATCCAGGCAGTGCTGTCCCTGTACGCCTCTGGTCGTACCACTGGTATTGTCATGGACTCAGGTGATGGTGTGACCCACACTGTGCCCATCTATGAAGGCTACGCTCTGCCCCATGCCATCCTCAGGTTGGACCTGGCTGGCAGGGACCTCACAGACTACCTCATGAAAATCCTGACTGAGAGGGGCTACAGCTTCACTACCACAGGTGAGCATGAGGATGGTTTTTGAGACATGATGTGAGGCTTTCAGGGTTTTCTTATCTTAACTGTAATGTTTTCTTGTCTCACAGCTGAGCGTGAGATTGTGCGTGACATCAAGGAGAAGCTGTGCTATGTTGCCCTGGACTTTGAGCAGGAGATGGGAACTGCTGCCTCCTCTTCATCCCTGGAGAAGAGCTATGAGCTGCCTGATGGACAGGTCATCACTATTGGGAATGAGAGGTTCCGTTGCCCAGAGGCTCTCTTCCAGCCCTCATTCCTTGGTAAGCAGCATCAGCTTTAAGACAGACTTCTGTGATTTGTAAAAAGTAGTCCTTTGCAAGGCTAACCTTAACCCCAAACTTTCCAACTCTCCACAGGTATGGAGTCTTGTGGTATCCATGAAACTACCTTTAACAGCATCATGAAGTGTGACGTTGACATCCGTAAGGACCTGTACGCCAACACTGTGCTGTCTGGAGGTACCACCATGTACCCTGGCATTGCTGACCGCATGCAGAAGGAGATCACTTCACTGGCACCCACCACCATGAAGATCAAGGTAAAATTCTTGTTCTGTCTGTTTTATTATAAGTTTATAATAAATGGACTGTATTCATTGCTGACAACTCTACTTCTGCCCTTGCAGATTATTGCTCCCCCAGAGAGGAAGTACTCTGTATGGATTGGAGGCTCCATCCTGGCTTCTCTGTCCACCTTCCAGCAGATGTGGATCAGCAAGCAGGAGTACGATGAGTCCGGCCCCAGCATCGTCCACAGAAAGTGCTTCTAAACAGACTGTCCCCACCCCCACCAAAACACACTGCTACAAACCCAAACTAGCTCAGCATACATGCCTACACCACCACACTGGTGTATGCTGAGCCTACACCTCTTCCATTTTCCCTCATCACTCTGGCTACGGCACCATGCCCCCTGATGGGGAGAAACTCTGCAGGAAGTACGGAGCATCCCAGGCGGTGTGAATGTGTGAGAAACATGATATCCATTGTCGTGTTTGTGTAGGTCATTCCAGTTGTCTTTGTTCACCACCTTATTTGCCTCTATGAAGGTTTATTCTCTGGTGGGCTCGCTGCCCATCAGAACTGTAGTATTGCTTAATATGTAAATTATGTAATCTGAAACTTGTTTTGTTTTTGTTCTTTCAGCCTTAAATGATACTTGGTCCAGTTTGTTTTTGTCATCATGCAAAAGACAAGGCTTGTACCTTGTATTGAGGTGTATGAAGGTTTGTGCATAGGGCTTTAAGCCTCTGGTGTACACAACAACCCAATAAAGCGCACATGTCTGACTCAAGTCTGATTTTGTCTTTATGTTGAATGCATCAAAGTAACCTATTCATCATTTGGCCTCAAACTGCACTCTGGGAAAGTTGTTTCAGCTTATGTAAGACTTAGTAAAATGCATCTGGAAGAGACAGGCTTTGCTGGTATAAATGGCAAAAGTCAAGAAGTGTGACACCTGGAAGTTAAACCATAGTGGATAGTAGGTTCAGTTTGCACATTAAAATTTAATGAAAGATGAACTCTGCACCCTTAATTTCAGGGGCAACACTTGTGACTTCAGTGTCATAAATGTAGTTGTGTGCTGTAACAATAAGCTACACCTGTCTCATGTTAATCTTGGCAAAAATATGACTGAAACAATAGTGTCTTAAATGACAAATCCAAGAACCAAAGCCTGCTTTTGTCTTAACAACACTTCAGCTTGCAGCTCATAGGAAGGACTTGGGGGGGGGGTCATGTGAGGAAAGGAATCAAGGATGTCTAAATTAAGAAATGGGATAAGCATTTGGCGTGAATGGCATTGATGGCTGGAGCCCATTTGGCTACTGTTTGCATGTCAGTATAAGGTGCTGCACATGCAACAAACACTGATGCATCAAAGCCTCCATCCAAACACTGTATTATGTGAATTCTGTAGATTCTTTTCTCAAGATTTTTCTTTAATCAGTTTAAAAAAAAAAAAAAAGAATTTAACACACATTCAGTCTGACTGCTGTCAAGAGTTAAACAGCAAATTTTACAGTCATCAGCCTTCATGGCAGGCTAAATACTGAAGATGGATTTTGAGTATAACTTTACTACAAAAATTTTCTTTATAGTGCCATCATGTGAATAACTGATTATGGGAAACAATAATCAGCTTTTTTTACATTAATGACTTTAGAAAATATATAAGATGTTATATAGTTCTATACATTAGGAAATATAAAGACTGCTGCACTGAAACTTTACTATCTTTCTGTTTAACACTAAAGCTGGCATACATTTGTCTTACCAATACTTTAGATTTGTGAATATTCAATAAATCCTGCATAACTCTCTTATCAGTCTGCATGCCAAAGTCAGGAGTGCAGGAGAAGTAATATGTGAGGGTGGGGCATGTATGAAAACAGCAGGACTGGTGACTGGTGATTTGTGACTGGTTTAGCATATGAGACTTTTGAATTCTCCCTCAGACTGTCTTCTCGAGAGGCTTTTGATTCAGTGGAACCAGCTATTCCTCTCATAAACAGTTCCCTTACATCTGGTTGTATTCCAGCTGCCTTTAAACATGCTGTTGTGCAGCCTCTTATTAAAAAGAAGAACCTGGACCCTGCTGTTTTTTCTAACTACAGACCTATTTCTAAATTACCATTTCTGTCTAAGGTCCTTGGAAAAAAATGTTTTTAAGCAAACAGAGTATGTGGGAAAAGTTTCAGTCAGTGTCAGGTCACATTACAGAGATGGCTTTTTTGAGAGTTCTTAATGATCTGCTTTTAACTGCTGACTCTGGCAGCCCTGCCATTTTAGTTCTTCTAAACCTGTTTGCTGCCTTTGATACTGTGGACAGCAAGATCCTGCTGTCTCGTCTGGTATATGTTACCTCTAGGACAGTGGTGGGGAACTCCAGGCCTTGAGGGCCGGTGTCCTGCAGGTTTTAGATCTCACCCTGGGTCAACACACCTGAATCAAATGATTAGTTCATTACCAGGCCTCTGGAGAACTTCATGACATGTTGAGGAGGTCATTTAGCCATTTAAATCAGCTGTGTTGGATCAAGGACACATCTAAAACCTGAAGGACACTGGCCCTGATTCACTGTAGTGGGAGCAGCCAGCAAAAGAAGACAGCTCTGTTATCGTCCTGTATATTTTTTTTATATCTATCTAATAGCATCTATAAAAAAATACAAAACTTTATTTAATAACTTTTACAAAATAATTTGTATTTTATTGTGTAAATTGAACCAGCAGGAAGTGTGTCCGTCGCAAAAAGATGTCCGACACGTGCGACAGCATATATCGTCCGTGCAGCTAACGGTAACACAAACGTTCAGCCGCCTGTGGTTTCACGCAGCAGATTCACGGAACATGAAGCTCCAGCTGGGTGGATGAGCCTTTTTTAAAAACATGAGTGGGGATGTGTGCGGAGTTTCAGACGGCATGGATTACCAGATTTTACAGGTTGGTGAAGACGGCGTTCACAGTTAGTTAGCGGTGCTGCTGAGCAGGTCAGCTCAAAGTAACGTTAGCGACAAAATGTTAACGCCGGTCAGGTAAGGTTATGCTCCAAACACTTTACACAATTATTTTTTTAATCCCGAGTTTGGTTTACCGGCGTCGGCAGTGTGTTGGAAATAAGTGCGTTTTGGTGTGTGCGCGTGTGGGTTTGTTTGTTTTGTTTTATCGAGAAAACCTGCTAAGCTCAAACGCCCTGGTACTAAAACCATTAAAAGGTTGTATTGTCCCGAAGTGGTATTATCAAATAAAAAAAATAACCTGGAGCACAGGGACCACTATTGCCATTTTCTATTAAAAATGTTTCATTTTTATTTTGTTTCTGCTAAATAATGCTTCAGCTATAGTGGGGGTCATACTTCATGAATAAAGATAAACCATGGAGAAATGATTGTTTCTGATCGAGTAAATTGAATACTTAACACATACCTGATATTAATGTTTAAAAAAAAAAAAAAAACGTACAAAAATGACAATAAAACAGGACACATTAAAAGGAGAGCTGTACAACAGCTACATAAAATAATACTGTCATGGTATAAATTATATTGTCAATTAAATTCCTCTAGAAGGAATTTAATTGACTAATTTTCTAATATTCTCCAAATGGCCTAAAAGCGCCTGTCACTGACACTGTGTGCTGTCTGGTTCAGGCTGTGTGCGATGAGGATACCTTGTCTTCTTCGTCCGTGGGGATGTCAGATTTGTCTGATGAAATCCTGCTATGCATCCTGCGCCATATTCCAGTGTGTGACCTGCTGCTGAATGTGGCAAATGTCTGCCAGAAGCTTAACACGCTGTGCCATGACAAGACCCTGCTCACACATGTCAGCCTGTCTGAGGATTATTGGGTAACTTACTGCAATATTCAAGTTCATGTATGTGTACAACTTTCCATGTATTTTAAAAAAAGAAAATGCCTCTGTAACAGCAAGTTGTATTCTAATGAAACATTAAATAGACTCTGTTCTTTATTTCTCTCCAGGCTGATGACGCATTGGTTCGACGCATACTAAAGCAGCTGGCCAATCATGTGCAGTCTCTGAGCCTGAATGGCTGCTACTGGCTATCTGGCTCCACCATGGAGCACATCGCACGCTGCAGAGGAGTGACGCACCTAGATGTCACCGGTTGTCGCATCACTTCACTTCGCCTGTCCCGTCTCCTCTCCTCCCTCGCTTTCCTCAAATCCCTCGCTTTTGACGTGGCACCAGGTTTCAACTCTGCTCAGCTCAGCTCAGAGGCAGTGGATGCACTGAGCCGCCTGTCAGAGCTTAGGCAGATGCTGTTGACACCAAGCTACGGTGTAGTGCCATGCTGTGCCCAACTCCGCAAGTAAGGATGTTGGCCCTGACCCAACTGTGTTTTTTGATCCCTTCCCTCCCTAAACCCCTTTCAAATGCTTAGGAGCGGCCCTCTTCAAAGTCTAGAAATATTTGGACAATGTCAGTTTTTATAGGTTTTGGCTCTCTGGACCACCATACTGCGTTTCCTTGAGGTTTTCTGCCAGTCCTTTAATCCAGCCACTCTCTGATAGGTTTACTTTGATTTTTCTTTGATCTGCTTAATTTTCATGACATAACGAGGGAACATGTCTAATTAAAAAATCTATAAATAGCCTATAAAATGGCTGTCATTTGTAAATTATGTGACAGCTGTGTCTTTGGCTTAAAAAACAAAAATGTATGATATTTAAATGATACAGTGTTGTGTGCATTTGCTTGTCGTTGCACCGTAGGCTGATGTTGCAGTTTGACATCCCAGATGTGACCAAAGAGGGTGTCGGCGTTTGCTGTCAGTTAATGGTCGGTCAGAGCAGCGTGCCACATTACAAACAGCTTGAGGAGTTCACTGCCAGGCTGGCTCCAGGAGAGGTGAGTGTGTTGGGGCTTATGTCCATGAAACCTGTTCCTATATGGGCTTTAATTAACGCGCTTGTGTTGTCATGTTCTTAGGTAAACCAGACCCTGCTCCTCCTATACCTGGCAGTGTTCAGCGTTAACGTTCCGAAGCATCTCAGAGTTTTCCTTGTGTCCATCCCCGGCCCAAACCCGGCTCCCTGGCCTGCTGCTCCCTCAGTGGCTCAGAGCTTGGGTGAGCGGGGCGACCTGGTTGCCCTGCAGCTCCCTCGGTCATGGCTGGACTCTGCATCGCTCAAGCAAGCTCTGGAAGGAAACAGCCCCAAACACCTTAGCTTCAGCCGATGCCCGGCATTGTGGCCACAGGTGTTCCAGTCGCTGTTGAACAGTGGTGTAAGAGACGCCACGCAGCTGGTTAGTCTGAATCTGAGCGGGATCAACCACGTTCCTTACTCGGAGTGCAGGATTGTGGAAGATCAGCTGGCTGCTGGGACAATGAGCCAGCTGGCAGACAGCTGTTCCAACATTAAATACCTAAACTTGATGCACACACATTATCATCATGAAAACTCACCTGGGCTGGAAGGGGAAACCCACCTGTGTGCCAGCTTGGCCAAATTCAGACACCTGCTGTCTCTCACTCTCCCTGCCTGCGCCCTGTCAGACGGTTTAAATACAAATCACACGCAAATGCAGAACACTCATCTCTCTCCGCTTTTCCAGGGATTGAAGAAGGTTCCTCGTGTGGGCCTCCAGAATTACAAGCCTGCCTCAGAGTCCTCTGTGTCAGGGGACAGCACATCGGGGCTCGCTTTGCTGTTAGCTGGCTGCCTTTTTTTAGAGACCTTTGAGCTTATCGGTCCAGGCTTTGCTTCCACACTGCCTCGGCTTGAGCCGTGCACTCGTGCAAGCGTGGAGCCTCGTGGCATGTGCGCTTGGGCACGAGGAATTGGAGACGCACATTTGGCGGTGCTTGAGGCTTTGCCTCAATTGCGTCGCCTGACTCTGGCTGGTCTTCCTGGAGTTCTTAGGGGAACGGGACTGGTACAGCTGGCAAAGCAGTGCAGAGACCTGCGAGTATTATCCCTCGCCAATCTGGGTTCGCTGAAAACCATGAACTACACCGCTGCCTTGCTGGACACACTTAAACAGTGCACGCAGCTACAGGAGCTCAGGTAAGAAGATGACTTTGTGTTCGCTTTGTTTATATAATAGTATGAAGTATGCTCATAGTATGAAAATGTGCTTTAAAACTGTCTGATTTCATACACCTGAAGCAAGAACATTAACATCACTTAAATATTATTCGTATTTATCTTTCTTTTTGCCCCCTATAGACTGTTAGGTTCATATATGCAAATGAGAGGATCTCATCTAAGAAGCACTAACCTGTATGACTGTCCAGCAGACAGTTGGCTCAGTTTTTTCTGTTAATTTGGAGGAAAAAAAACATTAAGGAAATAAAATTTGCCCAACATTTTAAAGTTGACCAAATTGACCTGCCCTTGACTCTCTTCAATCAAAGCATTTAATGTTAATTACCTGTAAAGTGTAATTTGTGAATTATGTTTTGGTTTTGAGAGGCTTTTAAACAAATAGGATTTTCACTTTCCAGTTGTCCAATTGGTCTATATCAGGGGTGGGCAACTCCAGGCCTCAAGGGCCAGCGTCCTGCAGGTTTTAGATGTGTCCTTGATCCAAAACAGCTGATTCAAATGGCTAACTTGCCTCCTTAACATGTGTTGAATTTCTCCAGAGGTCTGGTAATGAACTAATCATTTGATTCAGGTGTGTTGACCCAGGGTGAGATCTAAAATCTGCAGGACACCGGCCCTCAAGGCCTGGAGTTCCCCACTCCTGCTCTTTATTTTACTCTGAACTGGGACAAATCTCAGACTGTTTCTACTTTTAATTCTGACTGAAGACATGTCTGTTCAGATTTTTGTCTTTATATAACCAACCAGCTCTTTATCCTCTCAAGGATACTTGAGGGCGCATGGGAGTTTGCCCAACCAGTCTACATGCGTTTTGTGGACTTGGAGAAGGCATTCGACCGTGTCCCTCAGGGTGTCCTGTGGGAGGTGCTGCGGGAGTATGGGATGTCTGGCCCATTGCTACGGGCCATTCGATCCCTATACAACCGTTGCAAGAGCTTGGTTCGTATTGCCAGCAATAAGTCTGACTCGTTCCCGGTGGGTGATGGGCTCCGCCAGGGCTGCACTTTGTCACCGATTCTGTTCATAATTTTTATGGACAGGATTTCTAGGTGCAGCCAAGTGGCGGAGGGCTTTCACTTTGGTGGCCTCAGAATCTCATCTCTGCTTTTTGCGGATGATGTGGTTCTGTTGGCTTCATCGGGTGAGGGCCTCCAGCTCGCACTGGAACGGTTCGCAGCCGAGTGTGAAGCAGCGGGAATGAGGATCAGCACCTCCACATCTGAGGCCTGGGTCTCAGCCGAAAAGGGGTGGAGTGCCCACTCCGGGTCGGGGAGGAGTTCCTGCCCCAAGTGGAGGAGTTCAAGTATCTCGGGGTCTTGTTCGCGAGTGTTGGGAGAAGGGAGTCGGAGATCGACAGACGGATTGGTGCTGCGGCCGCAGTGCTGCGGCCGCAGTGATGCGGCTGCTGCACCGGTCCATCATGGTGAAGCGAGAGCTGAGTATAAAAGCGAAGCCCTCAATTTACCGGTCGATCTACGTCCCTACCCTCACCTATGGCCATGAGCTGTGGGTAGTGACCGAAAGAACGAGATCGCGGATACAAGCGGCAGAAATGAGCTTCCTCCGAAGGGTGGCTGGCCTCTCCCTTAGAGATGGGGTGAGACGTTCAGCCATCTGGGAGAGTAGAGCCGCTGCTCCTCCACATCGAAAGGAGTCGGCTGAAGTGGTTCGGGCATCTGACAAGGATGCCTCCTGGGCGCCTCCTGGGTGAGGTGTTCCGGGCATGTCCCACAAGGAGGAGGCCCCGGGGCAGACCCAGGACACGCTGGAGAGATTAGGCCTGGGAATGCCTTGGTGTTCCCCCGGATAAGCTAGAGGAGGTGGCTCGCGAGAGGGAGGTCTGGGCTTCTCTGCTTAGGCTGCTTCCCCTGCGACCCGGCCCTGGATAAAGCGGATGAAGATGGATGGATGCATAACTAACCACGTGCATCTGTTTCTTAGGTTGGAGCAGCCCTACCTGAATGCGAATGCGTCGTTCTTCGAGGCTTTGTCCTGCTGCTCCCGACTGCAGCGCGTCTGCCTTATTTCACGCTGTGGCACTTTTGACCCATCAGCCACAGAAACTTTCATGGAGCGGTGCTGCCATGTCGTCATGTGCCACATGTTCATGGGTGGCACCTTAGTGATGTGTCGCACGCTGCAGAAAGCTCTGCTGGACAGGTTGGTGACTGTGTTCATGTATTTAAAGCTAGGGGGCATATTCTGTCGAAAGTTTTACCTGTGGGGTCTTTTCACTCGTTTTGTGTATTTTCTGGCTTTTTTTTTTTTTTTCCTTAAGGTTCTCAGCAGAGCGCCCGGCACTCAGTGTGGTCATCTATCCGTTACAACACGAAGACCTACCCTCAGTCATCAGAGATATCCCATTAACACTGCTGGACCGGATCACTTTGTTTCAGAGCCACGTGGCTCAACCACCACATTTATCACCATTGTGACCTCATCAGGATGCTTTAGTGTGATTGGTGCTCAGCAGTTGAGGTGCTCATCATTTTTTTTTTTTTTTTTTTTTTTTTTCTCCTCTTGCACGAAATAAAATCCACAAATGATGCTGAGACTGAATGTCATCAGCACCATCATTTCTGTTTGTGTGCTCCACGATTGTTTACATTTACACCGGTGATCATCTTTCCAAGGGAAATAGACTCACTCAGGCTCACGGTTCGTTCCAGGATGTTTCAGATGTACTGCGGCTCTGTGACGGTTGTGGCTTCTCTATCACAAATCATTGCAGTTCCTTTAAAATGAAGTGCCAAAATGGATTTTAGGATGCATTTGTATTTTAAACTTTGTACCAAATATCATAATAAAGTCTGTGTAAATAATTTTTAATCCTTCCCTTGTGTGCTGCTCTTCCATTCATGGCAGGCTGTTATTTTTATTTATTTATTTTTTTGAAGTAACTATAGTGGAATAGCACTGGAGGTAACTTTTTTTTTTTTTTTTTTTTTTTTTTTTTTTGTGTGTGTTTCAGTGTACTCAGTTTGAGACAAAATAATATATTGACATCTTTTTCATTTCAATATTCTCTGAGAACATAAAATTGGGTGGAGATTTGATTTATTTGATAAGTTATCATATTCATACTCAATTACCTTTTTATAAAGTATATTTGGGATCCAGACTTTTTAACACCATGTACAAAGTTCAAAATGAATTGGAAAGAAGCAGAAAGTCAAAATGAATCATTTAATGTTCATGGAACCCCATTTACAGTTAATTACTGCCTGTAGTCTTTGACCTACAGAGCCATCAGCAGGAGCTCTACTCAGACCTTTATTAAAGCCACTTAAAGATGGAGCTTCCTGTGTGATATTGGGCTCGCCTACAGCAGTGATGACCTCAGAGAATATGTCATCACCCTGACAAGCTGTGTGGCTGTTTGAGCTGCATGAATATGAATCATGTCCTTCACCGTCAGTCTGACTCAAACAAAGCACACAGAAAGTGAGTGAGTAGCCATGGATACCCATCAGTCTGTGTGACTTGGTCAGGAACTATGACACACTAAAATGTACTGTAGGTAGGCTAGATGAGAAGAAAAAGACCGGTTGCCACCTCTCCTCGGTTACATTTTCAGGTTTCTTCCTGTTAAAAGGGAGTTTTTCCTTTTCACTGTTGAAAAATGCTTGCTCATGGAGGGTTGTGATTGTTGGGGTTTTCTCTGTATTATTGTAGGGTCCATGGGACCATGATATACAGCACCTTTAGGGGACTGTTGTTCTAATTTGGCAAAATAGAAATAAAACTGAATTCAATTGAAAAAATGAAGATCTGTCCACATTCGCATATCTGTAAACTCCAGCGGCTGCAAAATCTTTCCAAACTTCTTGCTGTCTGTGATTTCAGTCGGAGTCTCAAAAACACTCCGAACACTGCCGAAGCTGTCTCTCGTACACTGGGGTTGTAGATTTCTGATTTTTCTGATCAGCCACAGCAGCGAGTGCCATGCTGGCCTTTTAATGATAAAGACTTGAAGAAGAGAGAGAATTTTTATTTTCTTCAAAGGCAGCTTCAGGGTGCCATAAAGGCAGATTATTTTCACCAAGAGTACTTGACTTTTGTTGGTTTTGGGTAATTTGCATGATTAAAAATTAAGATCCAAATATATGTATCTACAGGGATTGTAACAGGAAACAGGTGCACTTCTTTCCACATCACAATTCAGTGCTTTGTCTCAAAATAACAGCAAAATGCAGAACTTAGAAAAAACCCCAAAATACTTAGTTCCTTAATTTCAAATAAAAGCTAGCATTGATTATTCATACATTTTTTGCACTTTTTATCCACTTTAAAGTTTACTGTGCTTAGTGTCGACGTGGGACACTTTTCAAACTTTGTTGTGCTATTGTACTAACTATGACTGTGCAATGACAATAAAGAGTTCACAGTGATGGAAACATTCCTCAGAGATTTTGGTCCATGTGGACATGACAGCATCATACAGTTGCTGCAGATTATTCAGCTGCACATCCATGATGTGACTCTCCCGTTTTACCACCATGCTAAAGGTGCTGTACTTGATTGCTATCTGGTGACTGTGGACTCATTTTAAGTCCAACTCACCTTTAACTTAACTCTAAATCTTCAAGAAATCACTTTCATGACCTGAGCTTTGTTACATGGTGTGTTATCCTACTGGAAGCAGCCATAAAAAGATGGGTAAAGCCTAGTCCCAAAGGGAAAAACAATGTCAGCCACAATACTCAGATAGGCTGTGTTAAAGTGATGCTCAGTTGATGCTAAGGGGCCCTAAGTTTGCCAAAAAATACTCACCCACACTTTTACACCATCACTACCAGTCCGAACTGTTATAACTAAACATATCTGTTTATGCCAAATTGTGAACCTACAATCTGAATGTCACAGCAGAAATCAAGACTCCTCCGCTCGGAAAATGTTTTTGTAATCTTCTCTCGTGCAGTGTTGGTGAGCCTGTGCGAACTGTAGCCTCGGTTTCCTGTTCTTAGCGCACAGAAGTAGCACCTGGTGTGATTCTGCATACCTTGGTTGTAACGACTGGTTATTTGAATCACTGTTGCCTTTGTATCAGCTTCATTCTCCTCTGCCGCTCACAGAATATTTTCTCTTTTTCAGACCATTCAGTGTAATAAAAAGAGATGATCGTGTGGGAAAAGCCAAGTTAATCAACAGTTTCTGAAACACTCAAACTATCCCACCTGCCACACTGGAAGTCATGTAATGCTCGGTTTGACCATCAGCTGGTCATCTTGACCACGTCTACATCCCTAAATGCACTGAGTTCCTGTCATGTGATTGGCTGGTTAAGTATATGCGTTAACAAGCTTTAGCCTATTGAACTGAACTTGGAGCCCTCTGCTGAAATAATACCATAGTGTGACATGCTGCTGTAGCTTTCCTTGCAAGGGTAATAATGCTGACTAAACTATCCTGCCTATTCACTTGAGGGTTTATTACCTGTTTCATTTAAGCCTTGCTTGACCCCACCTGACCCGCCACTTAGATATTAACTAGAACATTTTCCTGGATGTTTAGTAAATAGAAAGATGTGGCTTTAGCCTTCACCTCATTTCACCCCATTCAAAAGACGGAAAATGTACTTTCATAGCCAGCAGGGGGCGATATCAATCTATCTAAAGATTATGTGAAGCCTAAACACCACACAGGCGTACTAACATATTGTCGATGTAGTCGATCGAAGTACGCCATCCTTAATTAACTAGACTGGTATTTTTCAACAATTTATGTAAACCGTTAATAGAAATATACTTTTAATTAAATTAAATTAAATTTGTTAATTTACTCCAACGATCTAAAAAATAATCCCCCAAAAACACGCTCATAATTATATTTGTATATCTACTATTAAGGTCTGGGCAAGTTTGTGTCATTGAAACATCGTGGTTGTACTCAGCTTGTCAGCAGCTAGTTAGTGCACCTTTAGCTAGCCTTGTAAGTGTAACACATTTTGTAGTTTTCTGACAAAAGGAAGAAACCCGACATGATCCGTTAGCTTTTAACCAGCTCGCTAACACTAACAAACATGCTGACGTCCGTTGTCCGTTCGTGTGCGCGAAACGGGAGGAAAATATCGCTTCCTGCTGCCAGGCTGTGCACATTTTCAACCTTTAGGAAGTCACCAGAACCGCTAACTCTAACAGGCAGACGGGATGTGTCACAGCACCCTTTATCCAGGCTTCTCACACACACTCCCTGGCATCCTAGGCCCGTGTGTCTGTCAGCCCTCTCCCGAGGAGACGCGGACCCACTGGACTCCCCCTCTGAACCACTTGACTGGGAAAACTTCGGCTCTCTGTCTACCGACATGGCCTCCAGGAGGACGTTCAGGAAAAGCAGCCCAGGCCTCCGGGACCTGCAGTACCGGGAAGACGGAACCGGGAACGAAGAAGAGCGAGAAGACGCCGGTAAACCTCAGAGGAGGCCCGTGAGGAGAAATACACCGTACTGGTACTTCTTACAATGCAAAAAGCTCATCAAAGAGAACAAGGTTAGTGTGGCTGAGCAGTTTTATGTTAACTGCTGTTCTTTCTCTTCTTCTTCTTCTTCTTCTTCTTCTTCTTCTTCTTCTTCTTTGTGTTTAACTTGGCAACCAACGTAAAGGAGCATTCTGTTCTTTCTCTTCCCTGCTGATGTGTTTATAACCCTCCTCTGTGCTCTCACAGCTACAGGAGGCTCTGGATGTGTTCAGCAGGGACATGCTGCAGGGAGAGAGGCTGCAGCCGGAGGAGTACAACTACACGGTCCTGATAGGAGGCTGTGGACGAGCTGGACAACTGAAAAAAGCCTTCAAACTCTACAATGATGTAAGCATATTTAATTTGACCAATTGAAATGAGATGTCAGTGTGCAAGGTACACTCTAACTCTAAGTTAAAATATTCATGTTTGACAGTTTTAGAGTGGTGTTGATTCAGGTGCTGCAGTTTCCAGTTGCTGAATTGTGATGTTTGCAGATGACATTGTGATATGTAGTGAGGCTAAGGAGCAGGTGGAAGCAAGACGGGAGATGTGCAAGGAGTAGAGAAGGTGAATGCCTGGGGCCAACAATCCGAAGCAACAGGCAGGGTGAAAGATTTAAAGGGAAGGTCTAGAAGAGCTTCGATGGTGTATGGTTGGGAGACGGTGGCTCTGACTAAAGATAGGAGTAGTTCAAGGTGGCAGAGTTGAAGATGCTCTGATTTTCATCAGTAGTGACCAGGATGGACAAAATTCTAAATGTAGTTTATCACAGGGACAGCTCAGGTGAAGCAATTTGGAGACAAAGTTAGAGAGGCAAGGCTGAAATGGTTTGGACATGTGCAGAGGAGAGATGGTGGATGTAGTGAACAAAGGATGTTGAAGATGGAGCTGCCAGCGAGAAACAAGGAAGACCACAGAGAAGATGCATGAATATGGACCTCGCTTTTAATATCCACAAGAAGAGACTAAGATTAATACAAATGATTTGTACAATTGAACTGCCCCACATACCAGCTACTACAGCCATCAAAGTTACTATAAATTTATTTGTATGGCAGTCAAGATTTAATGAGAAACATTACTTTAAATGCTGCAGGCTGCCAATCCCTCCACCCTCCAGATTTGTGTCAGGAAAACTGTGGAGATTGGCTATAATCAAAGAACAGATTCTAGTATTTTTAAAGCTTCAGACACTGATGCGAGACTCCTATGTGTTTGTGTGTTAAAATAAATATAAGTCTTATTTCAAATTCAGAGGGGTTAAAAGCTTGGGGACTGCTTTAGTCCACTAATGCCATAGAAGAGCCAGCTTTCACAATCAGTTTAGTTTCATTGTAGATGTTTTTTTTTTTTAAATATTTAAGTGTGTTA